TGTGTGTGTGTGTGTGTGTGTGTGTGTGTGTGTGTGTGTGTGTGTGTGTGTGGATATGTGCGTGTGTATATATGTGTGGGTGTGGGTGTGTGCATTTATACACATATACACATAAATGAGTATTTTTACCTGTAATGCTTCTGATATTAAAAGAAAAACAAAGAAAAAAACGAATTTTTAGCAACAAAGCAAACATATCACATCCTCCTAGTTGTAAAAAAAAATATATATATATATGCATATATATATATATATATATATATATATATATATATATATATATATATATATATATATATATATATATATATATATATATATGTGTGTGTGTGTGTGTGTGTGTGTGTGTGTGTGTGTGTGTGGTGTGTGTGTGTGTGTGTGTGTGTGTGTGTGTGTGTGTGTGTGTGCATATATATATATATTTATATATATGATTTTTTGTTTTTTTTAATAATACAGAGCAAAAAATAGAATACTGAAAAATCGTATCAGTTCTCTAATACAGGTCATACATAACAATACAACAGGACAAGGAAAACACGCTTTGAAAAATTATGAACAGCGTGGAGTGAACGCACCTGTCACCACAATAATGCTACATAATCTATCTTTTTCCTCATATTAGTTTATAAACACAAACTCCTTAAGTTTTTTTTTTTTTTTTTTTTTTTTTGATATAATTGAAATTTTGAGGAGGAAGGAGAAGAGTGAAATACTAGAAGTGCTTGTACGAATTCCCCAAAACAAAATCATCATCGGGTATTCAATGTATTTGACTAAAGATTTGAGATTCCTATTTATAGATTTTATCTTTTTATTGCAAATTACCTTTTCTACTCTCCCACAGGGCCACTGCGTCTGCTATTTGGAGACATAAAAGTATTGCAAATTACATAGTGGCCGGGGTCGAATTTAGTGCGGATGTACCAGCATATATAACCATCACTCATATATATGTAAGACATAAGATATGTTGTGTAGATTTATATATCTATATATATAATATATATTATATATATATATATATATATCTATATATTATATATATATATATATATAACTATACTATTATATATATAATATATATAATATATATATAATTATATATATATCTATATATATGTATATATATATGTGTGTGTGGTGTGTTGTGTGTGTGGTGTGTGTTTTGTGGTGTGTGTGTGTGTGTGTTGTTTGTGTGTGTGTGTGTTGTGGTATGTGCGGTGTATATATGTGTGGTTGTGGGTGTGTGCATTTTACACATATACACATAAAGAGTATTTTTTACCTGTAATGCTTTGATATAAAGAAAAACAAAGAAAAAATAAAAAAAAAAAAAAAACGAATTTTTAGCAACAAAAGCAAACATATCACATTCCTCCTAGTTGTAAAAAAAAAATATATATATATATGCATATATATATATATATATATATATATAGATAAAAATATATTATATATATATATATATGAGATATATATATATAGATATATATATATATGTGTGTGTGGTGTGTGTGTGTGGTGGGTGTGTGTGTGTGTTGTGTGTTCGTGTGTGGTGTGTGTGTGTGTGTGTGTGTTGTGTGCTGCATATATATATTATGATATATATGATTTTTTGTTTTTTTAATAATACAGAAGCAAAAAATAGAATACTGAAAAATTTCAATCAGTTTCTCCTAATACAGGTCATACATAACAATACAAAGGACAAGGAAAAACACGTTTGAAAAATTATGAACAGCGTGGAGGGTGGAACGCACCTGTCATCACAATAATGCTACATAATTATCTTTCCTCATATTAGTTATAACCCACAAAACTCCTTAAGTTTTTTTTTTTTTTTTTTTTTTTTTTCCTTGCTCCCTGGGTCAGTTTTTTTTCTTCTTCTTCTTTTCTTTTTTTTTCTCTGTGTGTGTTCAAAAGAAATTAGATGTAACTGATGTTCACACACAGAGCAAGAAAAGGTGAACATGATTTTGGTTTTCTTATGAACTTAATCTCAACTTAAGTAAGATTAATCACATTAATAAAGACTGGTTCTTGTTGAGGAGTGGTGGCCACATATGCCAGGATGCGTGTGTGTGTATATATATAATGTTTATATATACATATATATAATATATATCTATATATATATATCTATATATATATATATATATATAATATATATATATATATATATATATATATATATATATACATATATATATTATATATATATATATATATATATATATATAATATTATATATATATATATATATATGTATATTATATGTATAGGTATAATATATATATTGTATGATATATTTATAGATAATTCTATATAATATAGTTAGTGGTGTTTGTGTGTGTTGTGTGTGTGTGGTGTGGTGGTGTGTTGTGTGTGTGTGGTGTGTATACCGCACTCATCTATCCTCACTTACTATTTCCTCCTCCACCCCCTCCCCCCCTACCCCCGAGACAGAAATCCTACACAGACCGAAACTTCCGACCGACAAGTGAAACCACACACACAAAAAAAGTAACAAAAAACACACACACACACAAAAAAAAAAAAAAAAAAAAAAAAAAAAAAAAAAAAAAAAAAAAAAAAAAAAAAAAAAGATATAACTGTATTAACTTAGAGCAAATAAAAGGAAGTAAATCTGCTGGACTCGCCGTAAGCCCTTTTAACGTGTGAAAGAACAGCTGTTTATGAAATAGATTTAGCTGTTGAGGTTTTCATTAGTTTAGGTCTGTTTTACAGTTTTCGATTTTTACTTTTTTTTTTTTTACTTTTACTTTTACTTTTTTACATTTTTACTTGTTTTTTTTTTCTTTCTTTCTTTCTTTCTTTTTTTAGTTATAGTGAAGTTTGTAATGGTGATGATGATGATGATGATGATGATGATGATGTAATGATAATAGTAATATAATGAGGACT